GTGGGTTCAGGGAGCAGCTAGAATATTTTGGACATATATTTCATGTCAGTCACAGTTTTGTCCGGCTGGGGAATTTGAAAAGAATGGGCTCATTTTCAGCAGCTCTAGTTACTTTAGAGGTATCTTGAAATACTGCAGCTCATCTTTCTCCAATGTGATGTTTTCAGCATAAGACTTCGGTTTCCTGAAGAACCAAAACTTCCTGATAGAATCTCTAGATTGGAGATCATTGTAGTCCATTGCTTGGAAAAGACAGACTCTGTTTCCACCTAGTGGAAATTAATGGAAAAGGATTAGACATTGGGTAGAATGTGCTTTACAATGGATTGTGAATTTAGAGCCACTGATATATGGAAAGTCCTCTACACACAGTCTTCTAAAAGACAAAAATACTAGGAAAATGTGAAATCTATGCAATACCCATGTAATATACCAGTATTAAGAACTGAAACATATCTTCTCCAACTCCTTTTTTTAATGTTATGTTACTAAATGCAATAGATGTCATTAACTGTACTTATGTACTTATTTCTACATAAAGGAGTGTAAGTACTTATGTACTTACATGAGCTACAGGGATTTTTTAATATGAAGAATCTCATATGAAATCTTATCTGCAGTGCAACAGCAGAAACTATTCCAGAATGCTGCATTAACAAGCAACCCACCAATATTCTGCAAAATAAAATATTTTCTGAAGTTTCATAAAATGTTTCCTTGAATATCAGTGTTGGGTCCTCAGTTGACTCCCCACTTTCTATATTTATTCATTCCTTGAAAAGCTAACCAGGTTAGCTAGCAGATTTAGTTAATGTTTGGATGGGAACTAACCAAGATATAACAAGGTTCCAAGCTTTGATACAGAAGTCAAAACACCCAGGAAGAAGCCAATGACAATCCACTTCCATATCATTGCCAAGAAAATTGCATGAAATCCTAGCAGTTAAGCTTAACTTGTTTTTACTAGACACTTCTCTGCCCAGAGAAAGGCAGTCATACTGTGATACTGGACTACTGGACGCCTACTCTTGCTCCTGCTGCAGCTAGGCCAGCCTTCCCTAACTTGGATCCCTTCAGAAGTGCTGAAACTGTAACTGGAGTTGCAATCTCAACTTCTGGAGGCACCCAGTTGGAAAAAAGCAGGGCTGGACTATTTACTTTCTCTATCTTATGATTGGTCTTGGTGTGTGAAACAGATTGGGTGGGGAACAAACAGACTCAGCCATGAGCATTTGTTGGTGACTGAGTGTTCTTTTATAGCTGGCTGTGTGTGTGTGTGTGTGTGTGTGTGTGTGTTGAAGGAGGACAGTCGCTTCACAGAGACAGTGGAGGCTTTTTGGGAGGGTATTTTACTATGTATAGGTATATTTATAGGAATTAGTGAAAAAATAGAAGTAGTTAAAGCCGAGTTTCCAAACTTTTCAGTTTCTAACCTTCTCTACCTCTCCCAGGGCTACTCACTAGCAACCACCTGCTCTGTTGGGTAGCTACCAACTCCCCCTTTTTTTCCTCCCTCCCCCTCAGTGCTTCACTGAGAGAGCGATAGGAAGGAAACTGGCTGTTACTTTAGTGTGCGCTTAAAGCCTCTCTCCTTCCTTTTCTGACCTCAACAGCTGTTCCTCTGCATAGAGGTTGCAGGATGCACCTTTCTTTGAATCTTCTGCCCAGCCCTTCCCAGTTTGGGGCTTCCCCAAAGGCTCCAGGTGTCCATATGCAGGCAGCCGCCTCCCTCTGTTCCTGTCTGCCTTGGGGTTCAGGTGAAGTCCGTGTGTCAGGATTTTCACTTTTCTTCTCCCAAGCAGCCTCCAGCCTTTTTCTTCTGGGGCCAAAGGCTCTTTCTACCCTGATGCTTCAAAGCGGCACAGGCTCAAACACGGCAATGCGTCTCTCCATCTCCTCCCCCCAATCCTTTTACAGCTCAAACCGGCATTTCCTCTAGCAGCTGAGGATGTGGGTTCCCCTCCAGGGCTGTAGTCCCCATGTACTAGGTTTGGCCAATGAGCAGGCTGCCTCCATCTGCCCCACAACAGACCCCGGTAACAGCCAGGACAGCTTCGCCTGCCCTTGTGACAGCACAGTTGCCCTGCAAGGCCATACCCGAGTTTCTTCACATTTTCTTCCTTCTCCTTCTGCTGACTTGTGCCAGCCCAACCACAACCAGCCTGGCCACAAAACCCATATACCACAGATGTACCACATAATGTAGCAGGAGTTAAAAATAGACAAAATTGTAATGCCTTTGAGTATTAACAGAGGATATTAAAGGATGTATGTAATAAAGGGGAATTATTTACTATATAAATGCAGTTTCATTTTTACAGAGCACTTTCTCCAAATTGCTCAAGATGGTACTTCTGTCAACAAAAATATTGCTTTCCTAACCACTATCCTGACCCTAGCGTTTACAATAAAACCCTCTTGTACAGATTAAATAATTGGCCTGAATTAGTCTATTGCCGGATGAAGGTCTTTTCATGGAAGGTTATGGATTATAATCTATCATACTGGATCACTGTGGGTTGGTAGATGGATGTTTTTCGAGGTCCCAGCCTAGGGCTGAGTGTGAATGACTGGCCCAAAGTTACCCATGAGCTTACTGTCACATCTCAACCACACACTGAATAATATTTTAATAAATTTAAGTTAAATACTAGATTCTTTCAGTCTCTAGCAGCACTGTAACATTTCATAGTAGAGAAGTTTATTGGTATTAATGGAAAGCAGAAAGTTGGCAGAAATTGTATCTTATACGGACCCATAACCCAAGCAGTGAGGGGAAGGTAGGATACTTGAACATGCTTCAGAAATCCAGATTCACTACTGTTAGGAAAACTGAGGTTAATATGTAAACCATGCCTAAAAGTATTCACAAAAACATACTTCCTTATATTTATTTACCTCTTGTGCAAGTCTTGGAATCTTTTTAGAGCCAATCACAAGCAGCTAAATTACTAAATAATATTCTATACAGTGGATTGCAAGTTCAGGTCATTCTCTGGAACCGATTGTGACTGACTGCATCTTAATTATATGCATAAATCTATGCTCCTTAATGGCACATAATCCCTCAAACGAGATCTATTCACGCATAGGCAGCAGTTGGTAGGAGGAACAGAACACTATAAACATCCCTCTGCTGATTTATAAGCCCAGATTTTGTGTACACTGTGTGTAAACATCTCTTTTCTCACACATGTACCTAGTCAGTCTTTCAATTTTTCAGAACAAAAATCCCTCGAGTTTGATTCAGGTAACTTACTGACTAGGAATAATCCAGAAGAATTGCTAGAGGAGCCCATGGGTAGGTTACAAAACTACATATGTGAAATGTAGTAATGGCTGCATGGAATGCAGTCTAATATTCTATCATTTAAAAATTGCAAGTTTAATTAAAACAATTCAGCTTTTCCTGCAAATTACGTATATATAATATCTGCTTTTCCTCATTCCTTCTCTTCCTGACATACCTTAGTTTTCCAAATCACACTCAAAGGGAACTTTATTTGTAAAGAAGAAATGAGAAAACAAGAAAACAAAAGCAGAGAAGAAAACACAGAGAATAGCAGCACAAGTTGTGTTTTAAGGTGACTTTCAGGCACCCACTGATCTGGGAAAGAAATCCAGCATGTCATCTGACATAATACATAGGTTTTGCTGAGCATGTCCAATGGAAGTGATGCTTAGGTTAGTGTCAATTACTGTTTCATAAATTGCAGTGGGATGTATCTACTAATATTAAACAAACTTACTAAATAGAAAAAACTCCATTCAACACAATGGATGTACAGTATTTCTGAATAAACTTCCATAAGACTACACCATTACTCAAGATAATGGATTGGGTCTATTAAAAATGCACCACTTCTGCTACTGAAAACTAATTTCTAATACCATAAAGTCAACCACAAACACACCCTTCTCATTAGTTTACTAAGCAACCCACCCAACAGAGCTTTAATAGCAATGTTTCAGTTTTATTTCAAGGCATCTCCACCCTTTCCACCCTTCTAAAATTAAAAGCATTGCCCTCTGTCTCAACATTGTACAAATATATGCTGTACTCAGAGTTCCAGTTAATCCTCCTAATTCATTTAAAGTAAATATTTTTGCCAATTTACCTCTCTCAGAACTCCTTCATATATTATGGAATTCTTACATGAGCAGCCCTTCTTTGTAGGAATTAGCATGGAATCTTTTAGATTACAAAAGCATATGCTGTTTTTTATTTATTCTGTTTCAAGGAAAACATTATTACAAGTTAGGAATTCAAGTTTGGTTACAAGCTACTGATGTATACGCAGTTACTACAAGGGTGGGCAGAAGATGGTAGCTCTCTGGATAATTTAAAGTAGTCCAACAAGGATTCCATGTGGTTTCTTGGCAAAAAGAAAACCACGATGTCAGTCCAAGGTTAGGGACAGATCATCATGGAGAAAAATCTATGTGGTCGCTAAGAGTCGATACTGGCTTTATGGCACATAATCAACAAACAAGGAATAGCTTAACAAGGGGATTTAAATGATCCTGCAACAAAATCTAAATGATCTTTTTAACAAAAACTTGAAAGAATTGTAAAATAAATCAGTTCTGGCCAAGAATGTCTGGGGGGAGGGTGTGTGAAAAAGTCATGATGATAGCCACAACTATGCAACTGAACCCCCACTTTGACTTTTTTGACACCCTCCCAATTCTCTCCCTTAGAATAAAATCCTGGACTTAGAATACTTTAACATTTGAGGTGCCCACAAAAGATAAGTTAAATAAATTTTTAAAAAGGCACTCAAAATTTCCTGAAACTGAAAGATATCACGCTGTGCTAACTACTTTTAGTCAGCTTCAAATATAGGAAGTCCCCAGGTTAAGAATGCTAAGTTTAAGGATGACCCATAGTTAAGCACAGATCCTACTACAGCAAAATTCGAGTTAAAGACACAATGGTTTGAGTTAATTACACAATACTACTTATAAACTATTATACAATAATACCGTTCTGGCTTACATACGAATTTGATTTAAGGACAGACCTTGGGAATGGAACTCATTCTTAAACTGGGGACTACCTGTATAAGCAACAGTTTTAGTTATACATTTCTAGGCATAAATACACTCCAGTACTAAAAAAAACCTTAAACTTGCAAAAAGCAGAAAAAAGAAATATATTACACAGAAATCTTTGAGGGTTGAATGATAAGTAATGCCTCCAATGTTATAAACTGCCAACAGATGGTAGTACTAACACATTATAAGTTCTGACATGTTCTTTAGCATCTGTTCTTTCATTTCAATTGGCAGGAAGTTGCTGTGAGAAAAGGCTGTTTATGGTTTGGGACATGCAAACCTGAAATGAGTACTCTTCAGCATGCTTTAAGCAACACAACATGATTGAATTTTTGATTGCTGAAGGAACCCTTCCAATCAAAGTACTGTACAGCCTTATTTTCTATGGTTTTGAGGGAAAATATATGATAAAAATGCTCAGCTTGCATAGAAAATATATATTTAACATCCAAGGACTTTCAATACTTATAATATTCTGAGCTGCTTTCTTTTTCTAAACAAACTGCCCATTCCTGTTCTGCCTACACTCATTATATTCAAATGAACGTAAACCTGTTCTAGAACACAGCAAAGCAATATTTTTCCAACACATACACTCATACTTATTAGCTGTGTGCCTCAGGCTAGAGGAGTATAAGGTAGGCAAATTATTAATCTCAACTACTTTGGAGTAAGGGAGGATAAACTTCTGACAATTAAAAACACAGTAGGTTTCAACTAATAAAAATAAGAGGCCAATGCAATACTCTTCACTATAATTCAGTTTAAACTCAATTTTTTTAATCGATAATCTTGCTTTTTCTCTAAAGAGCTAAATGGGGCTGCCACTCATTTACTATGAGAGTCAGACACTTGTTTGCAAGGTAAATCAAATCTTCCCAGAGTGCAAACTGTAACAGCATTCTCTCTTTGCTGTCAGAGTACTTACAAAGCCAACTGCTGTAAGATGTCTGTGAAAATGTATTTGAAACGTATGAGTAACATTTTCAAATTCTTTCATGAGAAGGAATAATTGTATCTCTCCCTTTTCCTCCCACATTGTATTTTTTAAGTCTGACTGCACACGCATACACACATATGCTTTCCGTATTAAAAAAAAAAAGGATACTTTAACTGGGAGCTGCAAGGCTGAACATAGTTTTTGCAAGATACAACCTACATGTATCAATTTGTAAAAATTATGATACAAATATTGACAATGTCAAGTTGGAAGCATTGGGTAAGTTTCTTATCAATGTGTATCTTTTCTTTTTAATCTAGGTTTTATAGTTTGAATTCTTCATTTTTCCCCTATACATGTTATATGATTTGAAAAGGAAAAGGATGGATGTCAAGATTTTAATTAGTGCATTATAATGAACTGTTTTATCACATGCATTTTCTTCTATCATCAGTCACATACAAGTCCAGTAAAATTAATGAGCCTTAGCTCAGATTTATTTTCTTCCAACAAAATTGTTCGTCTAGGTGACGTGAATAATACTTCTACAAAATGTAGCATTGCATAAATAAAGTATTTAAAAAGATTTATATACAGTTATATTTGTCAAATTAGAAAGTAAAACTCATAATGGATGTTTCTATTAGAAGAGAGAAAAAAACCACAGACAATCTTGACAATCATTTCACAAGATTTAAAAATTCCACAGTTGTCAACCATTTTACAACCATCTGGACAGAATAGATGGGAAAAGGCATAATGATAGGTGTGAAGAGGGGAACAAAACTATTATCACAATCTTCAGAGGAGGCTTCATAGCTACCGTTGTGAAAAATCTTGTCTTGGCTTATCTGATACACATATTGTCCATATTAGTTTAATCAAGACCTTTAACCTCCTAAAGTATCCTCTTAGTTTGCTTTACAGATCAGGTTTAGATGTGAAAAAATAAGTATGTTGGATGTATTTTAAAAATGTGCTGAAATCCTATAGATCTCTGGCAAGAAAAAGCAATTTCTCGTAATCCAGCCTCCAGGTCTCTTAATGTTAAGCCCTCCAAGCCATTTCATTACAAGTGATTAGAAGCATGCATTCTGCAAAACAGATAAATGACTAATAAAAACAGCAAGGAGGTTAAAGAAAGAGACTTGGGGAAAGATGAGGATCTTATTATGCCACACGGTATGCTTTCAGAAGTGTGAATTCTTTCCTGTTTGTGCGCGCAGCCCAGATGAAAAGGGCAGCGGCCATAAACTGCAGAGGTGCTGAGACACAAGCCAGACAGAAGGACCAGCCAAACTGGCCTTGCACAGGAGGAGGAGGTAGTTTCTTATGGAGCAGCTCAATTCCAGCTACATAGCAGCCAACTGAACCCAGTGTGCACAAACCTGGTGAAAAATCAGCAAACAACAGTCAGACCACAGCAACGAACACTTGCCTTATATTATTAAGACATTCATGCTTCAACACGGACGATGTTCCCCAAGAGGACTCACCAGCTAGGAAGTGGAGAACTCCAGTGGCAATGGCAGGATAGAGACTGTGGCAAGCACAAGCACAGACCCCAATAAGTGCCCCAAAACACATGAGTCCTAAACTGACAAAAGGCAGGAGAAACTGAAAGCGCCAGAGATCTAAAGGAAATGGACAAATGAACATTGTTAGGTTATGTCACTGTCTATAGTATAATACAGCAATATCAGAGAATTTTTGGCTTTCCAAGCCCCCCTTCCTGCCCATTCAGTCTCATGTGAAGGCTACGTTCCTGCCCTAAATCCTGAGCCCTCGTAGCACTCACACCGAGTTATCTGAAGCAGCAATATCCATGGTTTAGGCCCACGTTCACCCATCTCTTTGGGAAAGGACAGGGAAGCTAAGCCAGCAAGCTATTGTTGCAAGGTGCCCTTTCTGCCCACTCTTATCAGAATTGCTGGGAAAGGCTACAAGCTAACCTGCACCTTGAATCCAATCCAGTTCCTCACTTTCGCAATAGAAGGTGTCTCGGTATAGAACTGCTTCTACAACGTGTCATTTCTTGCCAGAGTTTCAAAACTGTAGCCTTTTTCTCCACTAAAATACTAAGTAAAATGGCATTATTTTTCGAAAATCTTAACCACTAACTACAAAACTACAACGTATGCAACGTCAGCCACAACTTCTTCAGATACCATTCAAAAGAATCCCAATTAAATATATATTTTTTCTGAAATGTAAAAAAAATGCCTAGATTTTATAGAAAAAGATATTAAAACCTTAGAGATTTTACCATTTTCGTATAAGACTAAAATTGCAAAAGTGAGATTGCTAAATGTTTATGAGATTTGGTCATTTTCCTATATTTCACCCATTTTAGAAAATATCAAACTATGTAATTCTACATATATTCCCTTGCAGAAGCCTGCTTGCCATTTACCTTTGTGAGAGACAAACATTTAAGCTATTTGTTTCCCATAAATGGAACCAAAAAATACTCACAGGTTCGGTTCAGGTCAATGCCACTATTATGATTCCCAGGATCTTTGTATTTTTCCATGAATTGATCCGAAAGAGAAAAGCTGACACATTTTGTGACCATCTCACCTTTCAGAATGAAATAAATATTTTTTATTAGTCTCTAATTTTTGCTTGTCTTTCTTCACACATATATATTAATAAATAGATAAGGACCTTTGTTCCTACTTTAAATGATCTTGGGTCATCATAAAGATGAACAGATTTGTTTGACAGCTTTTATGGTGGGGATGGGCAATATTTTTCTGTTGAGACCTACAATCCTTCAGGAGTAATATGTTTGAGGCAGATACCAGTTGGTGAGCAATGATGAAGACAATTTGTTGGGCTAGAGACCTCTTCTATATTTTTCAGATCCATTCTTTGTGGCATTTGATTTTTATTCTCTTTCTGGCATCCTTTTGTTTTCCCCCACCCAAGAGACTGCCAGGGCAGATGAATCTTACAAAGGATCTGAACTGATCATTTGAAAGAAGTTTTTGAAATCACATCAGAAGCCACCTGAAAGGAGTTTTAAGGTCTTATATGGCCCTAGAGTTGCAGATGTATTTAACTCCTGCTTTAAGGTGTTGCAAGATTTTTTATTATGCTAATCAGGTAAACAAGAAAACTCTTCTGAAATTTTAAGATACAAGTGTTTACACAAACCCAATGATTAAAAAAAATAAAGTTCTAAATTCATTCAGTTCAATTAAGTGATTTAAATCTGAGCATTCCTTTTGAACTCCCTAAGCCAGAAAGGATTCCTGGAACTAATCAGTGATTTAAATGTAATTTAGCTTTAGATGTCATGGTTTTAAAAAGACTTACTAGAAATAAGGGCAGACTTATCTGATGGCTTTCAAAACGTTATGTCTTTGTTTGATTAGTCTTAGTGCCATGCAGAATTAGTTTTTCTGAAAGTACAGATAACTTTTCTTTTAAACTCAAGGATTCTCATTTGGCATTCCAAGATTTTGTTGACACTTACAACGTATTTCTATGTATAACTATTTGGAAACTGGATTTAAATAACAAAAAAAAAATTTTTTTTTAAACATACCTTTTTTTTAAAAAAAATGGATTTTAGAATCTTAAAATACTTTTGAAAAAATGAATCTAGTTCCAATGTATCACAATGAATCATCTCAACTTCTCTATTATATTCTATGAACATGTTTGTTAATAACAGTATATGGTGGTGAGAGACCTAATCAGCTGTGCAGGAGGTACAAATGTGCATAACAGTCAAACCCTCACCTTTCTTGTTTTAAAAGTTGCAAAGAGAAAGAAATCAGTTAAAGAACAGTAGACAGGTAAAGCAGATATGGGCAAGGAGGAACTCTCTGAATATAAAATGAAGGAGAAATGAAACAAGAATCAGTTGAATATACCCCTACTGCCTCAAAGAATACATTTCTTATGTTGAATATATCTACCATGAAGGATTAAAAGAGGGAATCTATCATGGCAATGGTAAATAAAGGAGATCCTACCTTGGAATATTTGTGAGTAAAACAAGCCATGAATATGAAGGAAAAATATTTCAACAAAGAAATTCAAGACTTGATTGTCTGAACAAAATAGCATCATGAGAATTTCTTTTCCTTTGAAGATACACGTCTGAACATACAGGATCTTCAAATTAATTAACAGTCATATGATTTAACTTTTTCATCTCCACAACTGTTTGTCTAAACTGGTCTCAGCTTTTGGTTGGCTTCCCAACTTACTATCATTTTAATGCACTTCAAATAAAAGAGGCATTTATTTCTTTTACAAGTTTGTTTCTATCAGTGCACACAGTTAGTAATACTAAATGAACAGCATGAAGTTAATTAAATACATTGATCTGTTTAGTTTGGAGGATTTATTCCCACAAAACAAGATTTTGATTCTGTCCACCTGCACCATGGTTAATGTCCTACCATTAGCTGATAACAGAGTTCTAGTCACATCGTGTATGTGAAAAAAACTGCAAAAAGAAGTAAAAAAAGTGTTAACGTTTAGAGAACAGGCAAAGATATGTTTAGAATAAGAACCAGTATAGTAAAGCAAGAGGCAACTTTAAAAGCTGTTCTGTTTAAGCCACGAATTCTTCTTCTGTAGAATTAAGAACATTAATTTGACTGACATGATTGTTATTCTGAAGAGGCTGCAACTCAACAATAGAAAAGGGATCTCAGGATAATTTTAAAAAGTATAGAAAAACATCAGAAAAGTATGCCAATAATCTAGCACTAATGGTTGGAGCAAAATCCAAATGATCAGCTTGTGTGTTAAGAAAAGAATGGATTATCTTCCTTTCTTAGCTAAATTACACATCAGAATTGCACATACTATTTGAATACTGAGATGTAGCAGCAGTAAAACTGAAAACAATTTCAAATTCAAATGGACAGCTTTATCACAGATAATGCAGCAAATGTACAGAAGATAAGAATAAAGAAAGTTTCAAACTAATAACATATGGCTACAATGCTTATTTGATGCATTTAGAAAAAGATTTCAGTGTCCAGAAATAAAGACTAATTTAGTGAAACTCCAAATATTCCTGTCATAATAATAAGAAAGCAGGAAGAACCAACTTAATTCTCTTGTTAAGACGCCAGATGGAACTGAATGGATTATTTTGAGCACTGTATCAAGAACTGGCCTCATATGAAAACATGAAGAAATAGAACTGTCAAAGATAAAGTTTCTCACCACTGGACTAAAAAGAAATGATGAATTTATGTGGACTATCCTAAAGTCTGCTTCCATAGACTTGAACAAAGTACTGAAAAATACCTGTTTTACTTCTGGTGGTGTTGAGGTTTGGAAGGAATTGATTGAAACCTTGAAAAGAGAAATGTAATTACAGAGTTAAATTATGGGCATTAAAAACAAACAAACAAACAAGCACTATCTCCAGATCATTTTCTTGCCAATATTTTCAATTCTTCGTACCAGGATCAATCCTTAATTCCTGAGAAGAGAAGTTGACTATGATATGGGTACTCTGCAATCATCTTCTGTAACAACACACTTATAATGAATTTCAGGATTAAAGGTGACCTTTATCAGGTTTTAAAGTAAGCTATAGCAGTGAGCTGGTAGGAGACATTTAATCATTTGGCTTCAAAGACTAATGGAGTAATAATCCAGTTTAATAACAGTAGCTAGTTCCATAGATGCAAAGAGAATTTTTAATTCACTGATAACTGAGAAAGTAAGAAAGCTTGTCTTTCTTCTCCAGACTATGAACAAGAAGACATAGATGAAGATTAGGTTACTTACTGGCTGCACCAATGAATTAAGTTTCTCATAATGATTTAACAAAGACAAATTTTATATTAAAAATCCTTTGCATATTTAACAAAAATAACTAATCCCCCTCCCCCAAAAAAGCATGAGGAAAATTTACCTCAATAAAAAGTGTACTGTACAATCTGAAAGCCTGTTTGGAGATGCTGATTATTCTAGCACATCACAGTAAGGTATCTTCAAGACCCCATGATTAATTAAACAGAAGTTGGTTTACCTCCTAATGATATTATCAGTATCAACCATCTGTTTTGACAGGAAATAAAATAATCAAGCCATGATTCAGTGAGAGCCTGCTTGGTGTAGTAGTTAAGGAGCTGGACTGGCACCAGGGAGACCCAGGTTCAAGTCCACCTTCTGCCATGGAAGCTCATGGGGTGTCTTTGGGTAATTCCACCTTTCACAACTCAACCTATTTCACAGGATAGTTGTTGTGGGGGAAAAAATAGGAAGTGCTACGTACATTATCATCAGCTCCTGAACAAAAGGTAGGATATAAAACAAACAAAAAAATCAATTTACAAGGAAGCCCTCACATCTATCAGAAAATTCCCTAATTGTCCTGAGATAATCTCACTTCTGAAATCCCCATGCTGCACAATTTTAAGCATATTCAGAAGGAAGAGCCTTCTTAATAAGTTAGGTATTGAAGAAGACATAAGGTTACTATATAACAATGCTTATACTGTACAGAATACCCCTTCCCTTACATTCCTGCTTGCTATGCAGAAGTGACTTATTCCTCAGGTTAAATGTCAATATCACCTCTATTGTGAAAGATGCAGGAAGCATTGTAGGCATCTTGTTGAAAGGCTCACTTGTATTAAAAAAAATTCATAAATGCAAAATTTATACTCATCACATTATTCCCTAATGTAAGTATTCCCATTATACAAAGTGCAGAAAAGGAGTGAAAAATATTAAGCCACAAAAATTAAGGCAAGAAAAAATATAGCTAACATAGTTTAAACCAATACTATTCACTATACCTCTTCAAACATTTCTATTGTGAAAACCAATCCTGCTTTCACAAGGTCAATTCATTCATAAATTGCTTTTTGTTCTTTAAACTGGACTTGCTCTTTTTGAGGATGTCATCAATTCCATCCAACCACATTTTCAGTCTTCCTCTTCCTCTCAACCCATTCACTCTTCTTATATATTTTTTGTGATTCAATCCTCATTCATTTTGTCTATATGATCAAGCCATTTCAATATACTTCTTTCATACTTCACTCAGTTTCGCATTCACTCCATATTTATTCCCATTCATTCTTCATTCTACTTCTTGTTTCACCCCACACTCTTAAGCACTCCACTCCCAATGAATTCAACTTTTTATATTTCTTCTGACACACCGCTTTCACTTCCATATAACAAAGTAGGAAGAAGCACATTCTTACGCAAAGCCATGTTTCCTTCTTTTGACACTTCTTTCATGATACTTCTTCATGAAAGATCACATACTATTCAGGGCCTTTCTAATAGCATTTGCCATCATAAAGTTTCCCTTCCTGGCTCCTTCCTGAGTTGGATTTCATAGTTTGGAAGCTCCAGCAGAATCCAGCTAATTAGCTGACTCTGGATAGACAAAGGAGCAATATAGTTCTCTGAACTGGTCTGAATCCCCACCTTCAGGAGAACTGTGGCTTCAGGAAGACAAGGAGTATGTTGAATTAACCCAGTGAAAAAGCACTGGTGAGCAATCATTGATAGGGATCCCCTATATTCATTCCTACCTTCCATTAATTTCTGGAGGCTCTAATAACAGTTCTTGAGATCCAAAACTGTTACATGGAAAGGTACACCAGTCTGCCTTCCTTCCCTTCTCCCTAATCTATTATTTATCTTTAAATACAGCCTGGCTTGTAAACGCCCCTTTTTTATCCTCTCTTCCCCTGATCTGTCACATCTAGTCTAGCTTTTCAATCACCATTTGCCTTTTCCAGCCTGATAAGCATCACCAACCATTTTTCAGAGGTCCTCAGAAAGCTCCTTTGTTTGAGCCATGACACACTTCCACATACCTCTGTTGTGAAAATCAGACTTTGATAGTGAATACCCAGAATTCTGTATCTTAAATAAGGCATGACCTCCCACACTCACACCTGATTATCATCCCATTGATTGAAACACCTGACTCTAATTTCCCCTTCAAATGAACTGAATATCCTAGAGGTTCACATACTTTTGCCACACACAAATATGTAGCTTTGGATAATTTTCCTCAATAAATCAATAAACATGTATAATTTTTTGACTCATCAGTTTAATTTGGTTCTCTTTATCTGGTGTTAGTACTTGTGTGGAGAACAGGTCACATTTTAGGTCATATTTATGCAGAAATATTGAAAATTCAAAAGGGTTCATAAACTTTTAAGCACCACTGTATCTGATTAGTTGTCATGTATTTCCTTGGAACAAATCCAGTCTGAACAGGGTGAATTATGTTGACTAAAAGACTGTAAATAGCCTGCAGCATTTTCAATAAAGAGATAGTCCTGTAAAACCAAATGGATTGGGTCATTCTCCTCTTTATAAAGCAAATATAAGAGATCCTCCTGCCATGAAGAAGAAAGTACTTGACACTGTTATTAATTATCTGAGTTAACAATTTCATCAAATTCTCTTTGACAGTCTTACAGTATATTGCAGAAAACCATTGGATTCTAGGGATTTATTCAACTTTGACAGTCTTGCTTCTTTTATTTCATCTTCTGTAATTGGTTTGTTAAATACTTTCTGCTGATATCTACATTTTGCAATCTGTGTTGTCTCCAAATACTCTATTATCTTCACCAAACGATTTTTCTATTTCTCTAATTCATCTCCCCAAATTTCCTGGTATCCCTTGGAACCCTCTGAATCGTTTTTATACAATTCTGTTTCTGCTGTTGCAATTTGGCCTTCATCTTCTGTCTCTGTAATTTGAATTCTTTGTTCAAAGATAATGCTTGATGTTCTGCATCCTTGCCCTTAATGTTTATCCTGCTGTTCCAGATTGGATTTACAGCAGGTTTAATATAAGCCTTAAATGAATCCAATTTAACTTTCAAATCTTGTTTTTGTTGAATCAGCTTAATTATATTCTCTTCTGAATTTTAAAATTTCAAGTCAGGTTTTTATTCTAACTTATGCAGTTCACTTTGGAATAAACCTCTGATTTCCATTAGAGTATTATTATGAAAAGGACAAGACAAGGTTGTCCCTTTTCTTGTTTTATTGGCATCAGAACAATTGGCAAGGAAGATACAACAAGACAGTAAAATTTCAAGAATAAAAGTAATGCAAAAAGATCATAAATTAGAATTATATGCTGATGATATACTCAGAGTCGCTAATCCAAAAGATTCCTTAAAATCAACAATGGAACATATACAACAGTATAGTTTGGTATAAGGATACCAGACTAATAAGAATAAGACATCGATGTTTACACGGAATCTTAGGAGGAATATTGCCTTTGAAACAAACAATAGGGTTTAATATCAATGTTAAACCAAACAGGAATTTATTTATCAGAAAGAATTAAAACTTGTTCAAAATAATTACTGACAGATCTGGAAAAATGTAATGGCTGGTATTTTAAGTTGGGAAAAGCTAAATTTATCTTGGCTAGGAAGAATATTGGTAGTAAAAAAGAATATCCAACCAAGGATCAGTTTTTCTGTTCCAAATGATCCCAATAAGAATTGAAGAAAAAACACTGATTGAATGACAAAGACAAATAATTTTATTTGGTCAAATAAAAGACTGAGGATCAATTCTACAAGATGTATAAGAACATGAACATTTCATGACTGCATAAATTTTTAAGCTAAACTATCAAGCTAGCTGTTTGATCAGGAACACAGATTGGATTATATCATCAAAGGGAATGAAGGGGGCTCTGAGAAGGCCTGCATAAATATTCCTGGTGTGATAACAAATAGGAATGTTCAGTGCAAAACATAGCATTTAATTGTAAATAGCTTATTAAAAGTACGGAATGAATATAAAAGAAGAATAAGTCCAGGTTTATTACCTCTTGCTTCAATATTAAATATTTATCTTCATGCTAAAAATTATCCAATTTTTAATCTCTCCAATTATCAAGGGAGAGATAATTCATATAGACTGCAAAATTTAATCTTTAATAAAACAAAGATGAAATCATCTGAGACTTCTTGGAATAGTCAAAAATGCCTCACTAGTTTCAACACCTCCAAATATATAGTATAGTTCAAATGGAGCTACAAAAACAAAGTGGCATACTTAAAAATTTGATCAAATTTGAAATGTTTATATCACAAAACTAAGAACATCTGTTAGGGCTTATATATAAGTGCTATTAATATGATTCAGAATTGAACAAATCAAAGACTTGCATTATTAAATGGGTGAAGAATTTAAACAGGACAACTGATTTGCAAATATGAGATTATCAGTGTTCCCAAATACCAAATTTACTATGAATATTACATTCAGAGATACCCGGTAGATTTTTTGGGTTATATTATTCCAATGTCGAATGTCAAAATGGCTAATGCATATTCAAAAAATTGCTAGAAATGTAATAATCAGGTTAGATCATTATTCTGTATCTGATGGCAATATCACAAAACTCAGCAATTCTGGAAGATAACTCATTACAAGATGAAACAGATTTAAATAATACCTTTTGGTTTTTGCAAGGTGTTTTTCTGTTAAGTATCACCAAGACTTATAAATAACTAAATAAATAAATATGAATCAAACTTGTATGCTGCCCATCTCACCATACAAAGTATATAGTTTTATATATGATAACAGTTTTTCAGGTATTTTTCAATTAGGAAGTTCAATGTAAGACTTTCAATTGCAGAATTTCCTTTGCAGAAGCCTATCTGTTCAGGCCCGATTACATCATTTGTATGCATCCAATCTAGTAGACGGCGTTCAAGATGTTTAGCGTAAAGCTTGCCTAAAATAGATAAAAGGCTGACTGGACGAAAATTACTGGGCTGGTCAAACCCATCTTTCTTGTAAATTGGAATTATTATCAAATTGAGCCAAGTGTTCGGAATTTTGCCATAATGATCAATGAGCGTAAATAAGGAAGCCAACGGCTGGGCCCACCAGTCAACATGTTTTTTAAGTAGTTCAGCTGGGAGCCCGTCCAGGCCAGACATAAGAGTTGATAGGATACTTTATACCTCCCCCTGGATTGCAGTCAATTCCTTCCTTAGAGGACAGGTGGATAGCTGATACCTGATCAAAAATAACTTCATATCTAAAAAAATAAGTCTGATACTAATATTAATTTATTTCAGAAACCATTTACAAACTTTAATTTTGCACATTTTGACTTCTGCCACACCTGAAGTTTGATATTTAACAATTTTTTTTAAAGGTTTTAAAATTCTAGATTATGACTGGCCATAAAGATACTGCTTCAGGTTAATTAGAAACTTTTGCTAATTCTTAGTAATTTGACTAAGAATTCTTATCTTGCTGTTTTTGTGCATTTGATTTTAATATTAGTTTTTAAAGTGCTAAACTGAACCGATTTTCTTTGTTCTAATTCACTGTTTCTGGTAAAAATAACGGTGGAGGATTTTTCCTTTTTCTTTTAATTTCTGGAAAATTATTTATGTAATTTTAATATTTTGTAAATCCTGAATTTATTCCTCTTTTCTTTTTCTTCCTTTGTTTTTTTCTGACTTACAATGAAAGTACTTGCCAATTGCATGTATTAAAAACTCTCTTCCCTAAAAACTGTACATGAGATGAAATGTTGAGCAGGAAATGTGATTAATGTTAAAACAGTTGTAATTCCCCATACTGTACCTATTTTTTTTTTCTCAAAGTAAAGATGCGCTTAGAAGAAGTAAAGAAATACCTTAATGGAAGAAAGATACACTATAGTATAGAGAAAGATACATTACAGAGTCTCTTTAGTGCAAGCTTACCTGGTGAATTGTACCAATGAGAGTTTTCAGACATTGTGATACACCTCCGCCACAGCCCAATGGTGCCATTCCATCGAAAGAGAGCTTCTGTGTAAGAGTTTTCATCTGCATTTTCACCAAAAAGTTCATCCCAAGTGGCTTTACTTTCACTGTTATTTTCAGGAGGTGATGGGTTACGATACTCAAACCAAAAATCTGTGCCAATTGAGGCTGCCAAGTAGATGGTGGAGATAAGGCTGAGCACGCAGGCAATTACCAGAGCAGTAGCAAAACGATTATCCATCATGGTATCTCAGCTACTGTTAACAAAAGGGAAAAAAATCCATACATATTTGCAACAACAACAACTGAACTTTAATGCATGACTGCTAGCAAGATATTCAGATCTTTTCAGTTATCCCTCTGTTAGAAGATCTCCAAGGTAACTTCCAAATCTTACATTCCATGATGTTGTAATACTCCAAAAAGACAGTTACTCAGGCATCAAAAAGAGCACTACAGCAGAAGAGACAGCAAGGTACAGCATGTAGTATTCTAGTAAAGCAATGCTAATATCCCCCTCTATGCACAGTCATTTCTATGATTTGGCAAGCTCTGCTCAGCAAGAATTTTGCATCATCATCATCATCATATTGCAAAGCATGCCCTACACACACTGGGCAGAGGGGAATATATCTGCCCAAAAAACACAAAAAAGGGGAGAGCCAGGGCAAAAAAACCTAGTTTAACAATAACTGAAATTGAAATTCAAATATTGAATAATAATTGAAGAAAGGGTAAGATAAGACTGGATAGAGATGAGGAGAAAGATGACTGAACAAGGAAAAGAAAAGGGAAAGAAGGCTGTTCAGAGTTTAAATTATAATTCAACAGGAAAGCAGCAATAGTTGTGATGTCTGCTCTTCTCACCAACCTCAAGTCATTATCTGGGGGGATAGTTCAACTACCTACTGAATAAATACAATGCTAATACATGATCAAGAAAAGCCTCCAAGTGGTTAGCTAAGTAACAATAATGGAAATGTAAATTTAATTTGAGAGTAAACTCATCTCTACCAGACTGGCAATGTCCAGTAGGTATAGCAGAAAAGCCTGAAGGGCCCCAAGCTGGTCTATTCAGGTCTGGGGGGTGGGTCAGAGTAGTCTCTCAAATACCTTGATAAATCAGAGCTAACTCACATATTAATTAGGAGCCAAAAACTGTACAGAGGGTAATATTTAGATATGCAGTGAAACTAGAATGCTTCATTGCATTGCAAAAGCATTTGCAGGTGTACCTAAATAAATAAATAAATATTCTTGAGACATCAAGATACCCAAAGTTGAAACACATACCCTTGGCTGCATTTCAATTTACTCTCAAGTTGTTTGAACTGAGTGTGTTTAACACCTGTAGTTTAAGTTTAGAAAATGCCCCACCAAATCATTTAACACAAATTTAACCTATTCAGTATGATGCCTTCTGCTGTGATTGAGTTCTCAAGAGAAAAAGGGGCTAAAACCATCACCAGGTATTTAGCAAGGCATGAAGAAATATATTCCCATGTCAGTGCCAAATCCAATCTAATCCAGTCTAGTCAGTCCACTCTTGGTACACATATATTCATTGTGCTCCTTCCTTTTTGGCTAAGCAGCATTATGCAGAGCACAGAAAAGAAGTAAGAAATGGTACACCAAAGAAGTTAGGCATGAGATAAGAGAAAAGGAAATATAGCCTAAATTAATTTATGCCAACACAATACCTTTCTATCTTTGCAAACCATCCTTGCTTTCATCACATCCATATATCAAGAACTGCTTCATATGTTGCTTTTTTTCCCCTTAAGCTTCTCAGCTATCCATTTTTTAAGGTATCAACTCCATCCAGCCACAACTTTCTCAGCCTTTCCCTTCCCACTGACACATTTACTATTCTTTCATATATTTGTTTTGCAATTCAATCCTGAGTCATTCTCTCTATATGACCAAACAACCTCAACATATTTATTTCATAGTAGTAACTCACCTTTACATCCAATATAGATCCATTCAACACCCTTTCATTCTTGACCCTCTCTCTTCTCATTTTACTACATACACTTAGCACCCTATATCCACTTTATTCTTAGTTTTAGGTTTCTCCTGACCTACTCAAGTCTTCCATATAAAAAAACAAAAACAAAAGCACATTCTTAAACTGCTATTTTTACTTATTTCAACATTCATTCATTCTTCACAACAGACCATGTACTACACAATAATTTCTACCAGCATTTGTACATCTTAAAATTTCTCCATCCATTTTCTTATCATTAGAAAACATTCTATCAAGAAACACAAAGGCATATATTTGCTCTACTTTTTTGCACTGTGTGTGTGTGTATGTGTATGTATGTATGTATGTATGTATATGTGTGTGTATGTGTGTATGTATGTGTGTGTGTATGTGTGTGTGTATATATATATATATATATATATATATATATAAATAATTTGCAATTCTTCATTCCATTTCCCCTGTCAAACACAACTCTTGATATTTTATGTAGTTGTTTTCAAATGTATACTCTTTGTTGCATCACATTATCTATCATTCACTGCAAATACTTCGGGTTTTCAGCCAACAACATGACATTATCTATGTAAAAAGTATATGCCCATTCATGACTCCAACCAATACAACTCTAACATGAGCACAACCAAATTCATTTATACATAAACAAACAGCCAAAAGGACATCTTACACCCTACCTTACTCTATGTTTAATACTGAGCTATTTGTTAAGCATTCCATTTATTCTCATGCATGTTTTACTTCCATAGTAGTAAAGGAAGTACCATGTATTGTTTTTATTACATTCAGCAATTGATATTCAACTCTGTATTTAAACAAACTATTCCACAAAGCAAACTTAATTCACCTTATCACATTTTTTCTAAATCAACAAACATATACAGTCATACATTTTCTTTCTCACATTTGCACATTTTTCAGTAAGCTGCTAAAGAGCAAAAACCTGTGCACATTCCCTCCATTTCCCAAATTTTGCTCAGTGCCCCTAAAGTGAGAATTTTGCCAAATACCCTTTCAGGCACTCTTAATAAAAAGAAAACTGGGCAGGGTTAGTTTATGTTAGAGAGCAATTACAGCATTCTTCCAATCATCAAGCACAGATGCAGTCTTGACACACACATTAAGCAAGTCTCATGGCCACTCTATAAGTAAACCACTTCCATATTTTAACATTTCTCCAGTTACACCATCAACTATAGCTTTACCATTTTTCAACATTCTAACATCAGTTTTTACTTCCTTTTCAAAACCTTTTCCAGCATTCCTTGATTTCAATTCCATCCCAAATCATTTCATTTCCTTCATTTTTAATTGCATTCACTTTAGCCTTTTTAACTCAACCCCCAAATTTGTAAGCTTTGCATTTTCTCTCCCTCTTAAATCTTAACTACATTCTTTGCAGACATATTTTTATCTATCTGTACATTATACAGCATCTTTCTTTTCTCATTTCTGCAGCAATCATTCTCCTCTGCATTTTTTCATCCATAGCCTTTCTCTTCATCCTTCTTTTATACTTCATTTTGGCATGAATCAACACATACTCTGTTCCAGGAAATTCTACATTACTTTCCTTTATATCCACTTTCCATCGACTCAGTTGGAAGATTAATCTACTTGTTATATATAGAACTCATACTTTCTTTTCCTACAGACATTCTACTTTTACTTTTGCTCATTTCACTTCCTTTTCTTTCATGTCCATTCTTCTATCATTAGTCTCCCTTTGTCTCCTTCCTCAATCTCTCATCACAATCAAATCAAACTTGCTTTTATATTTATATTCATTCCTTGCCACATTGTGTGTGTTTACTCATGCACACTCTTACTAAATATATAATCAGTAAATATATAATTTAAATATACAAGGGGAATAGTTTAAAATACTTTTTCTTTCAAAACATCAATACAAAAGAACCAGGTCCTTCTTTTCTCTCTTGTAATGTGAAAGGTTAAAAAAAAATCAGGCTATTGGTTTCATCCACAGAAGAATTTTATTAGGATGGCCCATTTGTATTGGAAGGCATTTGCACTGTAGGAACAACACTTTGATCATATCACCAACTTAGGGCAGGGACTTTTAAAGGGAAGGAATGCAAAGTCCATTCACTTCTTTTTGTTGTTTTCCTTAAGCTTACTATCTGTGGGAAATCACCACCTTAGCAAGAAAAACAAATTCTCACACCCATCCTTTTCTGTGGTATTTTTATCCAAGCCTTTTTTCTTAGGAGGAGGAAAGATAATGACAACCAGAATGCACCTTTTTATTGCTCCCATTTAATGTTCGGTTTTGTGCTTCCTCCACGCAATCCCATTCCCACATCTCTGAAGGTAATGAAGTGAGAGTGCTCAGCAAATATGTGCAGGATGGCACTGTAAAAAGATCACTGAATAGGAAATTTTAAGACACTTACTCAAGGGAGTCTTTAAGATTTTTAGGGGATTAGGGGAAACTAATTGAGAGATTGAGATGGCTGGAGAGAAACCCGCAGGATCCATCCGGCTTCCATAAAGATTTGTGACAACTCTGTAGGCAGTACATGGTCCCGGTTTTCCCCCTCTCTAGCGATAGGGACTCCTATTAAAATACAGGGTTGCAGCACCCCCAGGGTCCTGCTTTAGCAAACACATCCCCTGTAACAGACCCAACCATCCTCTTCTACATCGTCCCCCGACTGTCTCATTCACAAATTCTCTCCCTGGAGTACCGGGGAAACCACCAGGGCTCGGTAGGGCCCAATTCTACTTACCTCCCATCGTTTTCCCGACTCCACGGCGTCGTTTCCACCACCCACCCCCAAGAGCAACTCAGCCGGGAGAGCGGGAAGCGGCCTCGTCGCAGACGCTTATCCGCCCCTGTGCCGCTAAGCTTTCTGGGAAATGTAGTTCGAATCTTGCCGGCTGCCACGTTCCGAAGCGAAGGTGACACGCTTACTTACGTTCACTCCAGATGAAGCATGACACTGGCTTTATTTATGAATGCGTGCATGCATTCCGGGCAGTAGAGACTCGCTGCCAGGATTGTTAGATTCAAACGAAAGGGAAGCGACTTGCGGAACGCAGTCAAGCTTCTCCTGGGGAGACGTGGGCATTGTTCAGTGTAAAATTTACTGTAAACCCTTAGATTTACAAATGTTGTAGCAGTTTTCTGTGCACATAATGCCTTTCAGTTATTGTCCACGTATCCATTTGGAACTGTCGGAGCCTGCACACATATTCATTCACAGGGCGGTTTCTTTCTGAACTGACGTGCTAACTACCCATCCTTCAGTTAGCAGAAAACTACACGGGCAAGTACGGCTGTCCGCAGCAAGCTAAGATGTAGGTAAACCCAAAGACACAAGCGCAGGGACATTATGATGCAAATCTTACTCTTACAGACCTGCTTCCTGACATCTGATACAAATATGTAACTTCTTGTTTTTGCATCATGATGTCATGACACTTGCTTCCTCTCCCCCTAACAAAGATACCTGTGCTGGCAGGAAATTAACTATTCCCATACTGATCCCTATCTCCCTCTTCCCATTCACTGCCAGTCACTTGACTTCTCTCCCAAGTAATGAGTAACAGAGCCTTGATTTTAAACATTGCAGGCTCTCCTGGGATGATTTCAGATCAAGAGGGAAAATCCTACCTGCACAACTATGGCACAAATCCTGGCAACATCTTTTTATTGCTATATCCCCATGATGTTGCCTTCATTGTATTATCAGCTCTGAGAGTTTGCCATTGTGCTTTTAAACCTCTCTTTTTTCTTTTTAAGAACTACTATCATACTCTTTGAAAGATTTGCAATTTAATTTGGGAAAACATCATTCACATCTCCTTGGTTAGATAAGTGATAGTAAATGGCAGCACCAATGTTGTTTTCATTCATATCTCCAATTATTTTAACCCAGTTGAATAACTTGGATTTCTGAGCAGGTATGTATGGTTCTTTTTGATACACACTGCAACCACTCCTCTCTTACTGTTGTTTCTCCTTCTTTGGACAATTTGTATTCTTCAATTTATCTATTCTGATAATGGAAGTCATACCAGCAAGTCTCTTCTTTACCTTCCACTACTAGTAATTCAAACTCATTTATTTTTCATACTGTGAGCATTAGTTTATAGACAATGGAGACCATAAACTTTATGATCAAAATTGTTCCTAATTTTTTAATTGTGTATTTTAACAGACCTCACTACAGCAATACTCCCACCTCCTTTTACACTCCATAGGTCTATTTGAAGTCCTTGGTTGAACATTTTCATCTCAACCGCCACAACATTCATTGTAATGTCTTACTGATAAATCTTGCTGTGATCAAACATGTTTTTACTAGTTCTTAAATTCTCCTGCAAGTTATGGGAAGGCTGATTCTGGGTGAATGTTAGGAAAACCTTCCCAACACTAGGTTCAACAGTGGAACCCATTACACAGACAGGTGATGCTATTATTTGGATCCCTAAATGTAACAAGGAGTTGGATTGAATGACATACATAGCCCTTCCCAGCTTAATGATTCTATACAATAATCAAAATTTATCTAATAGGATGGGTAACATGAAGATGGAGTTCATCTGGATTTTAAAATTAAAGTTAAATATATTTTACATGAGTACGGATAATTCTAAAGAAAAATTTTGTGTATATAGACCTATGAGAAACAGTATAAAGACTAATTTAAATGGTACTAATAAAATTACTCAATGGGAGTTAAGAAAATGGAGCTAGGATTGTGCCATATGGCTCATTTCTGTTACTCACTGTTGATTATTTTTGCAATTCTTAGCAGCTCAGTAAGATAGAATAAAAAGTGTAGTGTTATATATATCAATCTACAAGCATTTAGCTTTGTGTGGCAAATATGTGGAGTTTCTACTCCTGGCAAATTCACATTCACCATGTCTTATATGAGAAGAATAACCAAAGTAATGGAAATATTGGTGCAATGGATGTTTCTTTTGCATTGTTATGCTTATTTTTTTTTCTAAGAATATGCTGGAATTCCTAAGTAGACTCAATAAAGCACTAGGGTTGGGGTAAGCAAAACAAACAGGTCCTGAGACAAAATGTTGCAGCATAGAATGTCCACATTCAGATTTCCAAATACTCGATTCTATCCTACCATTCACTTTTCTTTTGGCCAGTCCCACTGACTTTGGAAATAAATTACGTAAAAGGGGTCAGGACTGTGTCTGTCCATCAATCAGTGCAAGAACTCTCCAAACATGAAACAAAATGGAACCAAATGTTATGTGGGAGAAGATGGCAAAAATGATTGAGTTCAAAAGTGAGTGGACCAGAGGGGGAAAAAATCCCCAATTCCCCAGTGGGAGAGGCAGTGGCTTAGAATGCTGTTGACTGTTCCATTCTAAGCCCTCTCCCTCCAGTCATACAACCTAGAGTGGAGAATATGAAGCTGTGACGGTGCGCACACAAATGCAACAGAAGGGAAGCACCTGTGTCTGCTTATGCGCACAGTTACAGAGAGGGTGGTTTGTGGAGTGGTCCTCTCTGAGCAAACAACCAAGCTCAGAGAGCACCAAGGACTCCACAGTTCAACCCTGAGCTACATACTGTATACTCTCTTCTATTATAAGATTTCCCTGAATTTGCTACTATGTATCAGGAGTATTGTTTTCACTGTATAAGTAGCAGAATTTTCTGCTGAAGATCAGACTGATAAAATTCTTACGCAAATGTTTATCCGTTGTTGACACACATATTTTTGCTATAGAAAGAATAAGCAGGGCTGGGGCTGGGGCTTTCCATGAAACAAGTACCTTACCCTTAGCACTTAATCACTAAATGAAAGTTTTAAAACCCAGCAATCCTAAGCATGCTTACTTGAAAGAAAAATCAGTTGAAGTTACTTTAATGAAAACATTGGAGGGTTAAATACAAAAACAGCAATGATAAAATAACAAACAACAGTGAAACAGGGGCTTCTAAGAAGGAAACTAAAACATTAAAACACAACCCAGGGTGGGGCTGTTGCTTATATTAGATCTCCTCTCAAACCTTTAAACCTTTAAAATCCAGGTTTAATGGCTCTTCTAAAAAACATCAGGGTAGGGGCTAGTTTGATATGGGGTGGTAAGCTGTTTTAAGAATGGGGGCTGCCACAGAGAAGGCTTGACTTCTTGCGCCCCATAGATGACAATCCCTAAAGGAAGGGACCTGAAGTGTAGAAGAATGACCCTGTTTTCCTTTCTACCACTTGGCTAATTGGCTACCATGGAGCTGCATTGGCTGATGAATAGATCCCCCACTTGAAAACCTCATAAACTCGATCTACCCACTGGCTAACACAGAGTTGTGTTAGCTTATGTTGGTCTCAAAATTGTATCAGTCTGAAGCAAACGTGAGGTGCTTTCTTAGAAATGAGATGATGAAAGCCAGTCACCATAGCTGCTTTTATTCATTTGCCCATATCTTGATTCTCTGCTTGGGGGTCGGGGCATATTTTTAGGACCTATGTTCATTCATATGCTGAGACTTACTTAAACCAGCTCTGGAGAGATTTTATGAAAACAAAGTGAATAATAGTAATTTATATCATAATAGCAAACAAACAAACAAATAAAATGATAGTTTCAGCTAGAAAATCTGTGTTAAACTAAAGTACTTTGGAATCATGGCAAAAAGAACAAGTTTGTGCAAATCAGGTCAGACAGCAAAAAAAAAAGTGCTACTGATTAAACATTGTGTGATTAAACATTCTGTGGGAATTTACTGTAGAATTGAAATTAATATTAAAGGCAGACTGAAATGTGAAGATATAAACCTTTTTGTTTTTGCCAGAAATGTGAATATCTTGGTCAGCAAAGCTTATGGAAGTGAAAAAAAACATTGAGTAAGTTAACGTTACTTAAAAAACAGGTCCCCTGAGAAGTTAACCATGTTTTTGCTTCTACTAAACAACCACAAACCACACATCTTTAAAACGAAAAAACATAAATAAGAGTCCTCCCATTCTGTGTTCCCCACTGATAGCTGCTCAGTCATTACTATCTGGAAGAAATTGAAGGGAAGAACAAAACTGTTATTGCACCAAGAGTAAAGAATTTAGATACTCTTTCACCAACTGGCTGATAAATCATTTCTGAAATGGAGGAAACAACTCCCAGCTATGATTACTTCTATTCTCTTAGTCCAGATGCTCCTGAAGAAAATTGTCAAGTTCTAAAGCTGCCCTATATGGAAACTTTTGTGAGTGTTCTTTATATTGCTATTTTTCTTGTGGGGACTGCTAGCAATGGTCTTCTGATAGGAGTATTAATCTTCAAACAACGTGTCTGGAGGCTAACTGATACCTTCATTGTCAACTTGGCAATTTCTGATTTTAGTTTTCTTATCACATTGCCTTTCTGGGTGGACAAGGAGCTAGCCTCGGGACTTTGGAGATCTGGCTCTGTTCTGTGCAAAGGCAGTTCCTACATCATCTCAGTCAACATGTACTGCAGCATCTTTCTTCTGACTTGGATGAGTGGTGACCGGTACCTGACCATCATGTACCCATCAGTGGCCAGAAAAATCAGAACAAAGCTTTATCCTATCTTTGTTTGCATCAGTGTTTGGATACTGTCCTGCTTGTTAGGGCTGCCTACTCTACAGTCCAGAGAGCTGAGAAGATACAACAACAATACATATTGTGTGGACAAGGAAACCATATCCAGCAACTGGATTGGATCACTGCTGCTGCTAATTTTGGCTTTCTTTATTCCACTGTTCAGCATTTTAATATTGAATTATTTCATAATTAAAAAACTCTATGTCCATTATCAGAAATTTGGGAAACATGACAAAAAACTGAGAAAATCCATCAAAATTGTTTTCACAATAACAGTTGTTTTTCTTTTCTCATGGATCCCTTTCAACATTTTTAAGATCTTGGCTTTGATATCTAGTACCCAGGAACTGAAGCAACCTTTCTGCCTTCACTATAAAATTGCCTATCTGGGCATGGAACTGGGTGGTCTACTTGCATTTACCAACAGCTGCACAAATCCTTTCATTTATTACTTCTTTGATGATTGCATTCGTAGGGCCACGATGCAAAGTATTATTCCATGCAGGAAGACCAATAGACCTGGAAGCAGTTTTGCAAGCTTGGACACTTGTCTTAGGTTTTCAGAGAGTTAATTTCTCCCTGAAAAGGTTGATCTCAGGAAGATAAAGAAGTCAGTATCATCCTGCAGGGAGTCACCATTTTGAAATACCCATAAAAAGGGTAAGGTAGAAATGTGAGGAAATGAAAATAAATAATTAGGAAGAAATTATGACTGAGTTGATTATTATATATTACTTTGAATTACATGAAAGGCAAGATATGTACCTTTAATTGGATAGTTAATGAAAAGGTTAAGTGGAATATATTCATAAGAATCATATCTTCCTGAATGTTATTAGGTAATTACACCAAACAGTGTTCAAAACCAATATGAGCTAAAATAACAGAAATTATTAGAGCCATATCTTGGGAATTATAGAATATTTCATGCTACTTAACAGCCAAACTTACTTAAACCTAGCTCATTCCTTTTAAGGGAGGCCTGCAAAAAGATCTTATAAATGCTTATCTACATAATTAGTTTGGAATGCAAAGTTTAAAAATTATGCCTCTTTTTTAGTTAAATTTTAAACTATTCAAGCTTTTTTTTCTATGTACACCTCTCTTATATTGTGTAAAAACTATTTCACTTTAAATGATGGTGTTGTAATTCTTCTAGAAATATTTGTTTTCTGATTTTCTGAATAAATATATGCATAATGAATCTTAACTAGGGCTCTTTCTCACAGCTACATTTATGCGCATTTCTTAGATCCTTAAGTTAGCAGAAAATTATGCAGGCATAAATTATGCTGCACTCATGGCTTAACCTCATTCTGCCTGAGTGAGGGAGCTGGCAAGTAATGCTATCCTTACAGTTTAATGTGGGACAGATTAGGGAAAGTGATTGAGAATTCCTAGGCTTTGTTTCCCCTCCCATTAATATAACCTTGTCACTGGGAAAAACAGGCACCAATCACGTTCCTTAATGTCTAGAGTGGGTGGGGAGTCTATGCAGGTGTCTGACATGGAAGACTTAGCTACTTTTCAAATGGCTTGAGTGACAGCTTGCTAGACCCATGTTCAAAAGTATGTGACAGATCATAGGTGCAGCAAAGGTATAAAAAGCATCAAGGCTAATTCTTCCCACTTTACCCAGCACCCTCTGTTATGCCTGTCAGTTGAGTTATTTCTGATTTAATTCAGAACTCATTTGCACTGTCAGGAATGGGTATATGTATTTGGACATGTAATTGAACATCTCTTCTTCACAATTTGCTGCAAGTGGTGGTTCTGGCAACAAGTGCCTTGGAGTCCAGCTTTCACCTCAAGCTGGTGGCACCCAGAAGTAGCTCATGGAGTAGGCAAAATGGCATAGGCATAGGCAAAATGCCCCCCAACTATTAAAAACAGTAAGAAGTAAGGCCACGTGAAATTATTTTTTGGGTGCATTCATTTGGAAGAGAACCAGCAACACAAGATTGGTAGAATACTGCTCTTTAAAGCAGAAAAATTGACCCTCTACATTTTTGAAACATAATGCAGGTAGTTCTCATTTAGCGACTGACTCACAGTTACAACAGTGATTAAAAAGTAACTTTGTGACCAGTGCCCTCATTTATGACCTTTGCAACATCTCACTCACATGTTTGCCATTACACTCAGTCCCTGTTGTCCTGTGCCTGATCTATCCCCCCCCCCATTGCCTAAACAAGCCATCTCTTCCTGAGCTGCTTTTCTCCAGCATGTCCCTAAAAAGTGCTAACTGCAAGTTAACAAGCTCAAGTCTGTGACTTTAATTGGTTGATTAGAACTGGCTTGCTCTGCTGCCTGAAATTGACAAAGCCCTAATCAGTTTCACACTAAAGGCTCTCACATCCTCTCCAATGAAGGTAAATATAAACATTAATTCCCTTCTTGCTAATTATACAGTGGGTGTGGGGGGGGGGGGGGGGGGGGGGGGGGAGCGTTCCAAAGGGTGGGGAAGTGGGGGAAGAGGGATATAAGATTTGTCCTTTTACCTGACTTCCTCATGAGTCGAGTTCCAGAAACTGTCCCACCCTTTGGGTTCACTGGGCTGTTTGGGGTTGTAGCCTCCTGATGCCGTAAAGCGAAGGAAAGCTGAAGTAGAATCGTAAGCAGAGTTGCAGTCGCATGATTTTCCACTTAGCAACTGCATCACTTAGTGACTGAGTTGCCGGTCCCAATTGCAGTTGCTAAACAAGGACCAGGAACACTAAAGCCATACTTGAAAAACACACCTAGTGCTCTTTTCAAAAGAGTGCTCAACCTGTGCAAACAAGAATTCTGACAAGCACTTTCTTATGTTGCCTACTTCCATTGTGCTTTTTCTTTAAGCAGTCATCCAGGACTTATCTTATTATTATAAAGCACAGATGGCCTGAAATGGGAACTGGGAAACTTAGTAGCATTGGATGGAGTCATAACCCAAAGTGGGCAGTCAGTCCACTATCACACACACAGCATGTATGCATGCACACACACACACAGTTCAAACTGACCCAAGGTAGCGTGGGATAGCATACTGTATTGATTGTGAAAACACACTAGCAAAAGAAACATCACATATTTCTATGTTGCTTAACAAAGGCAATCGTTAATTATGAAAGCAATTGAGAGATACTATTAACATTTTACATGGTTACAATCACTTACAATCACTTCACTTATAAACTTATTTGTTTATAAGCGATGGTTCTGTCTTTTCAGTGTGGTTAAGCTGCACTAACTGAAACTGAAATCTACTAAAGCAAATTCTATATATGGGCTTATTTACACATTCCCATGGTATAGGCTTCTTTTTGTCATGTCCTAGCAGTGATTATAGGTGCTGCCCTAGGACCACAAGTTCTGGGCCCCAAAATCCAGACAAACAATAGATGGCAACAAAGAAATACAGAGAACTGTAACTTTGATCATCTGCATGTTTGCAGTTCGGATGTACCAGCCCCAGCAGTTGCATTTTGGCTTCCCTAAGAGGCAGTTTGCAGTTTGATCAGGACATGAGCTGCAAAGTGGAAGTCTGAAATACTCACTGGCAATTTATGAGCAAGATCTTTAAACACAAACATATATTGGGCATTGTTTCTGCATACAGATCTGTATCATAAGAAAAGTAAGAGTGATTGTTTTTGTGAAGTGCTTGATTGCTATGCTGCCAAGCATAGCTGGAGAAATGTCCTCGTATCCTAAGATCCTGAGGCCATGTTTCCCTTAGCTGTGAGATGCCCAAGTTGGGAGGGCTTAACTGGAGACCACCTCTTGCCAACAAACAAAAGTCAGGAGGGAGTAAAAGACTTTGGCTCTCATTTGATGAGATGGGAATTTCAGGGAAGAAATGCAAAACCTCTTATGCAGTTTCATTTCTATAATAAGAAATTAAATGATCTGAACAATATTTTACTGTGAACTGGACTTTAAAACATGGCTGCTATTATTATTATTATTATTATTATTATTATTATTATTATTATTATTATTATTATTCACATTTATATTCTGTCCAACTCCCAGTGACTGATTTAAAAGATTAAAACAAGACAATGAAAACAACAAATAAAACAAAAAAGGTAGAGATGGCAGAATAACAAATTGGGTAGAAACAAAAGAAAACAACCTAGGTTAAAAGGAGCTTCAGTCATCCTCACCAAAGGCCTGGGTGAGCCAGGTTTTCAGGCTCCTTCAAAACACCAGCAAGGTGGAGGCTGTTCAGATCTCATGGGGAACTTCATTCCAGAGGCCAGGCACTGCTGCAGAGAAGGCGAGCTTCCTGGGTCCTGATATTGACATTGCTTAATTGAAGGGACCTGGAGCAGGTCAAGAAAAGCTGTTTGCCAGCCCTAAAATTAATGATTAACTTAACTGTCCCCTTGACTATTTTGACCATGGGTAATCCTAGGCCTTGGCTATATTGAAAACATATGATTTAAAACGAAACCTATTTTGAGTGTTTGAAAGAAATAAAGCTCTAATGAAGTTATATTTTTGGAATTATTTTTTTAAAAAACAGCACCTTAAATGCAGGAAAAAATACCTTTTAAAGCTACAGCCTGCTTTTTTTTTTTTTTTTGCCTCTTCTGAAAGTTAAATATATACATATAATTTTGTATAAATTTTGAAAATTTAACTGGACACACACACTTCCAGCAAGCAATGAAAAAATTGAACATTCCAGACAAGCACTAGTTTGAGCTTTTCTGAAGGAAAATAAAAATAAAAATGGTTAAACTCCTGTGTGTAAAGTTTTAACTACAGATTTGCAACTGAGAAGAGGCAGATTTTCACAACTGCAGAGCATATTCTACATGAAGAGGTTAGTTACATGTCACTTAGTAAAGGGGGCATTGTATATATATCCTGAGATGTCTGGGCAAAGGCTGCATTTGATTTTGACTTTTAAAGTCCTGTGTGCTTTTTAAAAATTATTTTTCTAAGTAATGACTAAAAACTAAAATACATGCAGCATATATGAATTAAAGGCTTATTTTCCCACATTAGATGCAGTGGCTATTTTGCTGCAGAAAAAGAACTTACACAGTAGCCTTAAACTCCAACAGTACATATTAAACATCCTTTAAAAGACATTTTATCTACGAAGCAGTCTTTGAATGAAGGGTGGAATGTGTAACAAATAAATAAACTTTTGACAGTGTGTTTTGAGTTGCACTGTCCCTTCCGTACCTCCCAACCTACTGAGCACGAAGGACAGGGAGGTGTCAATAGAAATTTCCTCTGTTCCCTCTTTATCTCTCACTCTGACTCATCCACGTATCCTCTCTGCCCCACAAAAAGACAGCCCACTAGCACTTTCTCAAAGACCATCATGTACAATACAAGGCTTCACCTGCCTGGCCCACTGCAAAGGCAACTTCTGGTCTTTTCTTGCTTTGCACCCAAAGTAGAGTTTTTTTTACTTCTGCTGGCACAAGTGGTACCGTGCGGTCTGCCCACTGCACTTCATTTCAAACGCTTCTGCTCCAACAGGCCACTGTGTGCTGTGGCAGGGATGTCTCTGATCCTCCAGTCATTGGATACTGCCCTCCATGACCGTTTATGGAGTGCCTGATCCCTTGTGAAGGAATCTTTCCCTGCTGGACCAATGAAACACTGAACTTTTTAAAAAAATAGGTTCACCAGTGGACTAGTGAATGGCTGGATCTTTTTTAACAAGTTCACTGGTAGACTGGTGAAATGATGGTTTGTTCTTTCTTAGATAACATTGACAAGAGTTCTGTCAGTTTCTCCTCCTAGCCTAAGTGACAAGAAAAACAAAATAGTGGGTCCCCCACTCATTCACTGAGGGGCATGCTAGACAGGAAAGCATCAAGTACAAGGGGGAGTCAACAGAGGGAGTGTCAGAAGCTTTGCAATCAATTAACCATCCTGCTAGTTTACTTGCTTCGTTTCTGCCAACACAAGAGA